AATTTCTTTTTTGTGTTGAGACCAATTTGAATCCTGACTGATATATTAGATGAAGGACACAGAAGTTTTCGTTCTATTGTTCTCTCAACTCTCCTTTAAGCTTGAAATGTTTCAAAATAAAATTCTGGGGGTGGGAGAGGCTTTACCAGAGACAGAGTGAGGAACAGAACAGGCAGACTGACTGAAATAAACTGCTGAGGGGGGCAGTAGGCGAGACAGGAGAGGTCTGCTGTGTCACGTGCGTAGCTCCTGGCCGGGGATCGATCTCGTGCTGCAGAGGCTGCAGATAGCTTCATCGTGCTGTCCTTAACCCTTTGCGCCACCAGGGAGGCCTGAAAGCAGGAACTTTTATAACCAGATCCTTTCTCAGAGCATGAAACTTCTCTCCTGTCTTTGGAAATCTGTCTGCAAACAGCTCCAAGGAGATGCAGTACAAGGGCTCCCTGTCAACAGCGATGTAGAAGAACACTGTGGGGGTCTCGAAGGCTGTGCTGCAGAAGGTCTGGCACAAGACCACCCTGATTCACTTTAAGACTGCGCCATGAAGAGTCTTCATTTTCCTCCTCTTAGATCCATTCTAGACTCTCTTCACGCTCAGGCAGCGTTTGATGCTGGTCTTGGTGGCTTTGTAAGAAGTCTGAACCCCCATTACTGTGCCCTTTCCAGGCTGTGATGGAGACCGCGGCCATCTGGGGCTAGGGTATCACTGGGCGGGGAGCACCAAGGGGCACCATGGCTGCCGGGGCATGCAGGTACATTCCCCCTGCTTCCATTAGGGAGCTGTAACCCAGCTCCTCCTCACGTCAGGTGCCTCCACCTTGCCAGGAAAGTCACTGGCTCTGAGAACCTCAGAGCGGAGGAGCCAGGCGCAGTGCTAAGTATGCAGGACTCTGTTCTATGGACTCTCTGCTGAGCAGTCATCTCCATATTTCCCCATTTAAAATGCCTGAGAATGAACAGTTGATAAGCAGCACACCATCCTTGATTTCTAGGCTAGGCCACACCCTGGATTGATGTCAGACGTCTGATATCTTGTATAGGAAATTGCTCAGTCACATACTGTGGCAGCGCTGGCTTCTGAATCATTACTATCATGTTCTTCCATCACATCATGCTTCCTCTGTGGGTCCGCTGTAAGAAATAACCACAAACTTAGTGTATTAAAAAGTATGAATTTCTCACTTTCTAGCTCTGTTGGTCAGAAGTCTGACACAGGGCTCACTGGACTACAGCCAAGCTGTCGGTAGCACAGGTTCCTTCCTGGAGGCTTCAGGCCGAGAATCTGATCTGTTTCCTCCCCTCTTCCAGCTTCTGAATGAGGCCTGCATTTCTTGGCTCAGGGCCACTAACTTCCACCTTCAAAGCTAGCGACTCAGCCTCCCCATTTCACATCTCTCTGCCCCTTCTACCAAGCAATCTCTTTCTCCCCACAGCTCTCAAGGATTCACACTGGCCGGGGATCTAACTCTCGCTGCAGAGGCTGTTGTTAATCACACATTTTTGTTATGTAAAGTAGCACATTCAAGTTCACAGGTCCGGTCAACTGTGAATGGATTAGTGTGAGCATTTAGGAGAGGACACAATTCTGTTTACCACATCTTGTCCATATATTAGGGCCTCCAGGAGCCAGTGGGCTAAGGTAAGGAAGACAGATATAATTTGACTTTCAGAGTCTTGGGAGACATTCTGATGTCAGCAGGACTTCACCAGTTTATACAGATGAGCTCCTTCCACAGAGCCAGTTTTTTCCCCTCATTCCTGGGCTCCCTCCTTTTGTCTACCTTAACAGCACATTCCTTGCAGTCACTCACGGAGAAGTCAGGATAGGGCAAGAAATGGGCTTTGGTGTTTGTCCTTTAAGATCCTGGTGTCAGGTTCCTGGCAAAGCTGAAACTTGCAGCGCTGGCCCTTCTGTTCTTAAAAGCCCCCCAGGTGTTCCTGACCTTGGGGCAGGTGCGGTGCAGCTTGGAGATACAGGTTTCTGTCCTTTCTGATGTCCAACTTTGGAAAATAATGTGCTGTCAATATTGCAAAGACCCCATGGGACACATATGGGGAAGGAGAGGGATCTGCTCTCATACCAAGATGGTAGAAAACAGAAGGAAATGAGAAAATCAGAGATGGGCACCCATCACCGTAAGAGCTGAAGGGGGAGGAAATCAGGCCTGTTTCAGAGAGCCAAGGTGTGCAGTTGCTGCAGGTTAGCTCATCACTTGCATTTGGGTACCCTCCCTTCAGAAGCCTCTCTCCAACTTAGGCAACTTAGGTCAACTTAGGCAGCATGCCCACTGTCGCGCTTTTTTTTAAAAAAAAAAGTTTATTTACTTATGCATACAAGGGCTGGGGTGCAGGCCAGAGATGCAAAGGTGGGGGGCAGTGAGAAGATTCATCAGAGACAGTGGGGAGCAGAACAGGCAGATTGACTGAAACACACTGCTGAGGGGAGCAGCGGGCGAGACAGGAGAGGTCTGCTATGCCATGTGGGTGGCTCCCTGGCCAGTCAGGAATCGAACTCCTGCTGCAGAGGCTGCGGATAGCTTCACAGTGCTGACGCTTAACCCCTTGCACCACCAGGGAGGGCCCCCCACTGTTGCTCTTTTACATTTTTTTTTTTTTTTGGAAACATGCTGGAAACCTGGTTTTTGCGTTTTAGCTGGTATCTGGGCCATGTTCATTGTGCTTTGGTTCTGAAAACTGGGACATTACTGTATATTGAATTCCCACCAGTGTTCCTGCCAGTGATTTACACACACACTGCCCACACCCCCCAGCCCTGTAGACCACAGATACAAGTACCCAGATTGCCCCCACCCACCCCTGCCACCAGCTGTTCCGTGCGATCCCACCCACTCTCACAGGCCCCCGGGTTCCCCAGGGAATCACCAACCCACCACCGTCAGTTATCTGGGGGAGCCCAGACTGGGGGAGGAGACCAGGTTCTTGGAAACTTTACTCAAGCAGGACGGTTAACAGCTGCAGAGGGACACCTTAGGAAACAGTGAGCCCTAAGAAGGAAATATTTGTAGACAGTGTCTCCATGACGTTTGAGGACTTGTCTGAAAATGGCCCATCATTCCCAGTCAGCGATCACAGGCAGACTGCAGCCCACAGCCTCCTTCCTGCTCAACCCTCCCGGCAGGTCTGACGTACTGACAGCCAAGCCGCCGCAGAGGCTGGACACACACACACACACACACACACACACACACACACACACACACACCCCTGCCTCCTCTTCAGACACGTCCCCAGGTACTATTGTGCTCTTCTGCCCCAGTGGGCACTTTTTCGGGAGTGGGCTGGGCGTCCCTATTGGGCAGAGCCCTGGGTGGACCCAGAGTGCAAGTAAAGTGTCCTCCATACACCACTAATCACACGTACAATCTGTTAGTGTGTGGCGGCCAAATCTTTCCCTTCCTTCTTTCTCCCCACAGCTGCAGGGTGGGGGTGCTCTGAAGGGGTCAGAGCCACCCACTAGGGGTGGGTTTTCCCCCACTTCCATGCCTTGTCTCGGCCCAGCCTCTTCTAACCCCTTTTGTCACTTCTGCCACATCCTGGATGACATCTCGGAGAAAGAGCACCAGGGAGCATCTGTACCATGGCTCAGCAGCGCCAACCTTCCCTGTCCTTGAGGGCGCTCTCAGTCCGGGCCTTCCCCCACAATGCCCCTTGTTCCTCTGGGCTGGATGTAAAGGGACAATGTTGGGACCTGTTCTGTTTTTTTTTTTAAGATTTATTTACATATGCATACAAGAACTGGGGTACAGGCCAGAGGTGCGGGGGGTGAGAGGATTCACCAGAGACAGAGTGGGGAGCAGAACAGGCAGATTGGCTGAAATACACTGCTGAGGGGAGCAGTGGGCAAGGCAGGAGAGGTCTGCTGCTCCATGTGGGTAGCTCCCTGGCGGGATGGGATGGAACTGGTGATGCAGAGGCTGCTGATAGCTTCACAGTGCTGTGCTTAACCCCTTGCGCCACCAGGGAGGCCCCAGTGTTGGGACTTTTTAAGAGAAAACAAAACCAAACCACAAGACATCAAACATCAAAACCTCAATTGGGGCCTCCCTGGTGGTGCAAGGGGTCACGACGCAATCTATGAAGCTATCCGCAGCTGCTGCACCATGAGTTCCATCCCATGCCAGGGAGCTACCCACATGGCGCAGCAGACCTCTCCTACCACTCCCACTGCCCCCCTCAGCAGTGTGTTTCAGTCAATCTTCTGTTCTGTTCCCCACTCTTGTCTCTGGTGGGTCCTCTCTCCCCCAACATCTCTGGCCTGTACCCCAGCTCTTGTATGCATAAATAAATAAACCTTAAAAAAAAAAAACCTCAATTGGTCCAGATTTTACCTCAGTACCCAGCCCTGCATTGCTTCTTTGCCTGTCTTCTGTCTCAGAAGCTGTAGCACTTCAAAAATATATATATTTATTTAATTTTGCATTGAAGACCTGGGGTGTAAGCCAGAGTTGCAGGGGATGGGTATGTGAAAAGATTCACCAGAGACAGAGTGGGGAGCAGAACAGGCGGATCTGCTGAAATGCACTGCTGAGGGAGCAGCGGGCGAGCCAGCAGAGGCTGTCGCAGTGATAGCTCTGGGACATACTCAACCCCTAGGCTACCAGGGAGGCCCTGGCCCTCATCCTTATCCCAAGCTGGGCCAGTCTCAGCCCCTGTGCCTCCTGGACTCGGCCAGCTGGGCCGGACTCAGCCGTGAGCACATACAGACCACATGGTCTGGCAGAGCAGGATGGGATATGAGGTGGGGGGAGTCCTTGGGAGGGGGGCGGTGAAAGGCCACGGTGTGATCCTAGGGCAACAAGGGCACATGCAGGGGGATCAGGACGGGACACCGGGACAGGCCGGACACGCCCAGCCCCTGCTCCACGCGCTGGACCTCAGAGGAGCCTCCCCTGGCCTCCGGTCCGGGCTCGGGGATGTCATCTGCTTCACTGAACCCATCTGCCTGACGCTGCTCGCATCTTCCTCTTTTGTGACTGGAAGTCACAGGGCAGAGCGCTGAGCTGCGGGGTCAAGAGGAGAGGCACGCACGGCACACAGCATGTGAAGGGACAGAAGGGACGTGGCAGGGGACACTCCGGCCGGTGGGGGAGGGAGCCAGAGGCAGAGGGGTCCAGGCCATGGCCGAGGCCATCACCTACGCAGACCTGCGGTTCGTGAAGGCGCCCCTGAAGAACCGGCTAGAACAAGGTGAGGGGAGAGGAGGCCGCCCCTGGATGCAGCAGCCCCCCCTTCGGGTCTCCACACTCACCCAGGAGCCCTGTCCTCGCCTCTCCAGACCCCGATGCTGACGAAGATGGGGAGCTCACCTACGAGAACGTGCAGGTGTCCCCAGCCTCGGCGGGGCGCTCAGGCCCGGCCTACTCTGGACTGGGGGAGAAAGCAGGCAAGGAGGGGCGGGCAAGGGGGTAAAGGGGGACCCAGGCCGGTGGGGCTCTGCGGCGCTCCTGGGCGCAGGTGCTCGCGGGGAAGGGGGGAGAGGCTCGGGCAAGAGAGGGGCCTGGGAGAGGCAGCCAGGGAAGAATAGGGCTCCGGCCCGGGTAGGGGTCCCACAGGGGCCGGGGTCTCCGGAGCCATTGGACGGCCCGCGGGGAGCAGAGCTGGCGGGGGAGGGAGGGCGGGCGGGGGCGACAGGGAGAGGCCGGGCGCACTCCCCGGGCAGATTTCGGGTACACTGAGGAGGCCCCAGGACTAGACGAGGGAGCCCGGGAGGGCGATGAGGCGGCCCGGCGGCCCAGGAGGGGCGTGAGAGCGTCGGGTCCCGGGGGAGACGAGGAACTGGGGGGGGGGGGGTGCCCAGGGTGTCCCGGCCGGAGGGCGTCGGAGAGACACTAGGGTCGGCGCGGGGAGGCCTCGGGCGGGGAGGGGGGTCGTCCTCCCTGGCTCACCTTCACCCCGGGGGCGCTTCCTCGGGCAGGGGTCCCGTGCCAGCAGCCAGAGGCGCCCGTGCGCCCCGGGACGTCGCCGGCCGCCGGGAGGCTGCGCCCCTGTGAGTCCGCGCCGCGCGCCCGCCCGCGCCCCCCCCACCTCGCGGGCACCCCCCGCCCGCCCCCCCTCCCCCGGCCAGATCGGGGGTCCGGGTGGGAGGGACCCGCCCCCTCGGGGCTGGGACCGGGCTTGGGGGCGAGAGGGAAGTCTGGTCGGTCCCGGGAGCGAGCCCCCACTTCAGGCCTCCGGGGCGCCCCCGAGCCCCACCCCCGCCTCTCTCACCCCCATGGAGCGTTTGTATCTTCTCCAGGCATCGCCCAGATTGCCCCCTCCAGCCCGCACCCCCTCTGGCTAGTTCCCATTCACTGACCCCCCTCTCCCGCCTCCCGCCGAGACTGACTTCCGCATTTTACTAGGTAGCGCCCCACAGGCCCCGTGGGCACCCCCACCCCGACCCCCCTCCCGGCGCGCGCCCCAGTTCCCAGCACCTCCCCTCTGCTCCAGGGCTCCCCGCCTGGCCTCGGCCTCTGGGGGTGCTCATGCCCGGGACCGTCTCCACCCACCCACCCACCCACACCTCCCTTCCGTCCATAAACGTTCCTGGGGTTCCCTGCACCTCATCCCACTGTCTCCCCAAGGCCGCGCAGCCCACGTTCACTACTTCCTCGCCGGCCTGCTCCTCACCTGCCTGCTGCTGGGCGTGGCGGCCACCTGCCTGGGAGTGCGCTGTGAGTATGGGGGCCCCCACCGCGTGCCCCCCTCTAGCCTTGGTCTCAGATGTTATAACTCACCCTGCTGTGCAAAAAGTTGCAAGGAGTAGAAAAATGACGGACGCTGAAGTCCAGGGCAGCAGGGCACGCTGAGGAAGATGCCCTCCAAACTGCTCTTTCTGGCCAAACAGATCTGCAGGTGTCTCAGCAGCTCCAGCTGGTGAGTGGGGTTCTGGAAGCCACTAACAGCAGCCTCCTCCTCAAGACTGCACAGCTGGGGAGGAAGGACCGGGAGCTGCAGGAGTCCAAGGAGGATCTGGGCCAGAGCCAGCAATCACGACAGCAGGAACAGAAGGACTTACAGGATACCCAAGAGAAGCTACAGAAGTGCCAGTTAGAGAAGGAGAAGGCGGAGAGCGACTTCCAGCAGGAGGAGGAACGGAGAAGGAACCTGCAGGACAGCCTGAGCAGAGTGCAGGAGAACCTGAGCAGAGTGCAGGAGAGCCTGAGCAGAGCACAGGAGGCAACGAAGCTTATCTCATGCCCTTCACCAGGTACTTGCTCTGGGAGAGGAGAGACGGGCGGGTCTGCTGTGAGGCACGGATTGAAGTGAGAGACACTCATGGCAGGAGTTCATGTGTCTGTGTGTCTGCCTTTCTATCTAATTGGGTGGGGGAGGGATGTTGAGGGATGTTCCATGGCCACAGCTGCACCCAAGCTGCTCAGGAAAGGGACAGTGAAGCAGAGTAATGGCTGTCATGAGCTGTCTTGGCCAACAGGGAGAAGATTCTAGCTGCATGCTGGATTCAGGGGGACCCACCCAACTCTGAAGCAGATCCTGTTGGGGAGAGGGGGGGTGGCAGTGCAAATCACACCAGCAGAGCAAATCACACTGTCCAAAGCCGCAAACCCAGGTCTCATTCTTGACACCGATGTCAAGGATCTGGAAAGCCAGTGAACTTGGATGTGATCTTGGATGGGAACGTGGATGTTTGCACATTTTCCTAAAGAGAGGGTCTATGGGCTAATTTTCAGTACATCTGAGATTCCCCAAAGGTTAAAAATTACTGATTGGGGAGGTGCAGTCTGGTGGTGGGACAAGGCAATTAAAGCTCCCATGGGGGGTGGGACTCACAAGGAGGTGGGTGGGGGTGGTGTGGGGCAGGGATCTGGGTGGGGTGTTCATGTTGAAAGACAGAGCCCAGCTCAGTCTGGGGATGAGGGAGGAACCACATACAAGGGGAGAGGCTGTGCCAGAGCAGGCTGAGGTTTGAGGCAGGGTGCCAGGCCCTAGGCAACTGGGATGTCCATGGACTGGTTATCTATGGTCGAGGTTAGGCTCAGTTTCCTGCAGGGCACATCTGGATACTCCTTCAAGGTCTAGACAGCAAGATTATGTGCACACCCCTCCCCCCCAGCGCCTTCATTTCTTTAACCTTATTCTCTAAGACCCTCAGTTCCATGGCCACAGCTGCACCTGAGCTGCTCTTCTGCTGAAAAGCTGGTTTCGGATCTCCACTCTGAACACACTGTCCGCCCCTCCAGCCTTTCCCTATGCTTCTTCAACCTCAGTGATGCCTCCAACCCACAGACTCCCCCGTCTCCCGCCTTCCCACCAGCTGGCACCTGGCCTCACCTCTCTTCTCCCATCTTGAATTCCAGGGGCCATCCCTTCAACCACTCCTTGTTCCTCTGTCGTGGTGGCTTCCTTTTTTTTTTTTTTAAGATTTATTTATTTATTTATTTATACATGCACTGGGTATAGTCAGAAGCGTGGGAGGGTGAGAGGATTCGCCAGAGACAGAGCAGGGAACAGAACAAGCAGACTGACGAAGTACACTGCTGAGGGGAGCAGCGGGCGGCAGGAGAGGTCTACGCGCCATGTGGGACCCTCCTCCGGTGGCCGGGGAGCAGCCGGGGATCGAAACGGTGCTGCAGAGGCTGCGGGCAGCTTCCCAACCCAGCGCCACTGGGGAGGCCCTGTCCTGGTGCTTCTGACAGGCAATAGCTCAACTCTGGATGAACTCACCTGCCCACCTTGCCCATGGCTGCGCCTGGCGACAAACTGTGCCACTGAAAGTCTAGTCTCAACCTTAGCTGGGGTCTCAGCCTGGACTCTGCCGTGGTTGATTTGCCCTTGGTGATAACGCCCCTCACCATCTTTCTCCTTTTCAGGCAGATGCTGTCCTGTGGGATGGATACAGATTGAGAAGTATTGCTTTCACCTCTCACTTACTCGGAGAACTTGGGATGAGAGTCAAAAGTATTGCACATCTTTGTCCTCTAAGCTGGCCACATTCCGTGGCAGTTATCCTTCAGTAAGCATACCCTTACTCAGGGAGCGCGGTGGGCACTGTTAGGTACAGGACATATGCCATCGAGACAGGAATGGCAGCGCACACGCGGTACCGATGGTGACATGCCTTTTCCATGCAGCTTCTCAGTATCATGCTCCAGGAGGCTCCTGCTGACTGGCTAGTGCTGGCACGAGAGTTGCCTTCTGACCCATTTTTACTTTAGCCTGTTTCTCACCTCAGCCTTCTGGTCAGCAACACGGGCTGCCTAACACGTTCTCGGACGCGCATGGCTTCTCAGGGGGCGAGGTCCCAGAGCTGGCGGGCAGGATTGTAGGGACTGGTTTCTGTGACCAGAACAGCCCGAAGGCTGGCAGGAATTCTCACCCAGCAGGGAGGAGAACGGAAGGGGGAGCACCTTAGGGAGGCCCTTGAAGGATGCAGAGGTAGGTCACCGATGGGCTGACGTCATGCACAAGACCGCCCAGTCCTCTTGTCAAAGCTCCTAGGTCTCCTAGTGTTCATCCCGCTCCACCAGCACAGTCTCCCCCCACCCCATTCTGCTATTTTTCATCACTCTCCACACACGTCTGGTCTCTGAATTTCCCTTCAGGAGTATGGTGACATCGCAAATAAGCTGTTTCTACAAAGTAGTTCACCTGGTTCATATTGGACTGGCTTGAAACTTGGTAAGGACCGGCGGTGGACTGACAGCTATGTGGAAGATTCTCGGTAAGTTTGTTAGGATTTTGGGGCATTTTCGACATCATAATCTCTTCAAATATACCTAATATCAAGATTTCCCTCCAATTCCACTCCCCAAAATGCTCACAAATCAGTATTGTAATTGCATATTTGTCCAATTCTATTTGATTAATAACTCTTTAGGGTAGCCTTGTACTCTATTCTATCCTCAACAACCAGTTGCTCTTGGAAACTTTTAAAAAATTTCACTAGGTTAAGCCCTACGTCATCTTTCTCAGAAGGAAAAAGCTGAGAATTTAGCTAGGGCCTCACCGCTGAGGAAGAACCCTAGCTTTCTAAATTCCTTGGGGCCTCCCTGGTGGTGCAAGGGGTCAAGTCTCAGCACTATGAAGCTATTTGCAGCCACCACAGCCAGGGAGTGGACCCACATGGCACAGCTGACCTCTCCTGTCTGGCCTGCTGCTCCCCTCAGCGGTGTATTTCGGTGAATCCGTCTGTTCTGCTCCCCACTGTCTCTTGTGAATCCTCCCAACCTCTGTACCTCTGGCATGTGCTGCAGTTCTTGTATGCATAGATCAATCAATCTTAAAAAAAAAATAGATTCGGGTCCCTTGACCAGGCTACCCAAACTGAGGTGGTACTTTCTCTGTCAGGGCTGTACAGGGCACTAGAGCCTCTTCAAAATAAGGGAGAAGTAGGGTAACTTTGAGGATTAACCCAGGGACCCTCAAACAGGGTAGTCCCCTATGTTTGTTCCTGAACTGGAGCTCCCATCCGTAAGACTTCAGACTTTCCTCCCCCGGGACCTAAGGCCTCTTCTGGTTGGAGTCTAAACATCTGTGTCTAAACCAACCCACACGTGGCCTTGGGCAGACAGGGTGAGCTAGGGGGGACTTGAGTTAGGTTTTATGCAGGCAAGGGGAGAGAAGGGATGATGGGACTGGGGTGGGGGGCAGCAAAGCTTATCTCAGTTCTATTTCATTACTCTTAGCAATTATGAAATATATGAATATGAAAGACATGAAAAATATGGCAAGCTGGTACTTAACTCCTGGGCAAATCTAGTGGGGGAGACACGTGCTTCTCCACTACTACCCTGCATTTGTCAGAGGGCAACATTCAGGTCTCCAGATGGGGATGGCTCTTTGCACTGAGCTGGTAAGTGTGAGGGATGGGACTGAGCCATGGAGGGAGGGGTGCTAGGGGGAGGGGCTGAGAGCAGGGTCAGAGGTCAGAAGAAAACTTGTTCTTGGGAAAGACAGTCATGTCTGCAATATCCAGGGTCTGCCTCTTTAGGAGTGTTGGGCAGGGCAGGCCTGGCACTGAAAGAAGGTTGGCAGTGGTATGGCTGTCCAAGGAGCTGGGGTGAGCGAGATGAGGGCTCTGAGTGACAGTCAACTATAGGACTTACTGATAGTTAACTCTGAATTTCAGGTACTCATGCCAACACGTGCCTGCGTCCTGCATCTCAGCTGCAGCCTACAGCTCCTAAGATCACCTCACTCTGTCTGGACAGTGCTGGCCAAAGGTGTATCTCTGCCTAAACTTCTAGCCAGCCGGCTGCCTGCTTGAAATCCTGTCTCAGAAATTGGACTGTTTCTGGAAAAAGGGTTGAGAAGCCTCTAGATGTCTTGGCCTCTGCAAGAACCTCCCAAAGTGGAATGCAGGGAGCTGGGGTGGAGGGCGCACGGGCTAAGCGGATGGGGCAGCCCGGAGCCAGCCAGGCAGTTTTATTGAAATATTTTTAAATAACTTGCACGTGTTAGTCTCATGTGTCAGCAACGCTGTGTCTGGTTCAGTGATCCCCATGGGAGAACAAGCCCAGGGGCTGGAGAGGAAATGCCCTGTCCCTTGAGTCCACGCTGAGGTCCCCCGTGTGGGGAGCAGAGCCAGGCAGCCCATCCAGGGCTGGCACTGTCCAACGCGTGTGCTCTGTCCTCAGGGCGTCCTGAAGGCCCAAGTAGGAGACCTGAGGCCACAGGCCCCACTGCTACGAGCGCGCCCCAGGCAGCTGCAGGCTGGGTGTGGGTGGCTTGGCATGGTGTCCTCGGTGGCAGAGGAGACTGCCCGCCTCACAGTTCAGGTTGCGGTAGCGGGCAACAGCTGGCGTGGGGCGGGGGCACATGGACAGGAAGCCAAAGCTGAAGGGGCCGAGGCAGCAGCCTGGACAGGGCAGCCCCTCGTCGGACTCGCGGGGAGCTGCAGGGGGCGGCGAGGGTTCTGTCCGCTCCAGGGCTGCTGCCCGGGGCAGACTATGCTGGGCCCGGTTCCAGGGCTCCCCAACCCAGCCTTGTGGGGAGTTTACCACCACAGCCGGGGGGTTGTTGTTAAGGGGCGGTCCCGGCCTCGGGGACCAGGGCTGAGAGGCTGAGGAGCAAGTGCTGATGAAGTTGTCTGTGGCCACCGCCAGGGGCAGCTGGGGAGCGGGTCCTGGGGGTTCTGACTCGGGGCTGCTGCCCTCACACTCCATTCTCTCTTCAGCAGAAGGGCCCACAGCAGGAGGGCCAGGCCCCGGCAGTGCTGTCTCCATTCTTCGGGGGAGCTCGGGGGATGCCGGTAGCGAGCGGCAGCGGCGGGCGGGTGTCCCGGGCTGGACAAAGGTCTCCGGCGTGGTCACCAAGGGCATCGGGGCAGAGGGCAGCGGCGATGGCACAAGGGGCACGGGGGCGACTGGCTTGCTGGGCGTGTCCAGGAGCTTGATCTTGCCGCCCCTGAGGTCTTCCCGCAGCGAGAAGGGGTTGACTCGAGTCAGGCTGTCCCCCCAGTTGGGGGGCGATTCTGGTGACGGGGGCAGGAAGAGGTCGGACCGGCTTCGGGAGAGCCGGGGGTCTGGCCGGGGAAGCGTGGCGGAGGCGCCCTCGGCGCCCTCTCGCGGAGCAGCCCCTGCAGGGAGAGAAGCGCGGGCACTGACCGGAGCTGGCAGGGCCTCGGCACAGGGTGCTCTGGCGAGGGATGGATGTCACCTCCGGCCCCCTTTTCTTTCTCCTCCCCCTCCCCTCCCCTCCAGGCTCTGGATTAGAAAATTACCTCCTCTGAGATGTCCTCTGGCCTCCCCGACTACTAAATACATAATCCCCTGGATTGGGAGGAGGAGACAGGCCAAGGCCTTGGTGGGGAGGGGCTCACTCACCCTGCCTGTGTGCCGGGGGAGCGCTGGTGACGGGGGCTGGCTCAGGCAGCTGCTCCAGGATCCACTCCAGGTGCTGGGCGATGTCCGTGAAGGGGGCACGAGTGCTAGGTTCCATCTGAGGGGTAAAGACGGGGTCCAAAAGAGGGCCCGTGAGCTCGCCCCGACCACCTGGAAGCCAGCTGGCGGGTGGGCGGAGGGCAGCAGGAGGGGGACGCGCTTACGCTGCAGCAGTGGATGGCCAGGAGCAGGAAAGGCAGCGGGCAGTCGTCCCCCACCAGGGTCCGGAAAGCCGACACATCCAGGCCAAAGTCCTGCGGGGACAGGGGAGAGGGGCGTCCACGTCAGCCTTCCTGGGGCTCTCCTCCTGCCCAGCCGGGCCCGCAACCACCTTTCACGCCCAGGGAGCTCACTTCGGTGCGGGGCAGGTAGTCCGGATCCGCAGGGACGCGCGCGATGAGCTCGCAGAGGACAATCCCAAAAGCAAAGACATCAGCCTGGGGGTAGGAGATAGCGTCAGGGCACTGGTGCTCCCTTCACCGACATCACCCAACACCCAGAGTGGTCCTGGAGCAGCTGCCTGAGCCAGCCCCCTCGGCAGCGCTCCCCCGGCACACAGGCAGGGTGAGTGAGCACGACCTCTCCACGAAGGCCTTGGCCTGTCTCCTCCTCAGAATCCAGGGGATTATGTGGGGGAGACAACGCTTATTAGCTGAGGAGGCTGGGGGTGAGGGGGGGCGTTGGAGGACATCTCAAAGGAAGTGACAGTTATCACGTCAGGATTTTGTTAGAATATGCCAGAATTTGGGGAGCAGTCTTGATGGTTTTCATGTGTTGGAGGGGTACTGTGAAAGACAAGGGGGATCTTGGGGGCTTCTGAGTATCTCACAGAGTTGTTGAGGAACTGGGGATGAGGCCTCGTAAGAGTATCTCGGGGGGTGTCTGGAAGGCCTTGGGGATCTGAAAGGCTGATGTCTTACCTTCTCATCATATAGCTCACCCCGCAACACCTCTGGGGCCATCCAGTAAGGGGACCCCACCACAGCCAACGGCTCCTTCCTCGCCCCTTCCCTGTCAGGGTGGGGGCAGAGTGGTCAGAAGCCTCTATTCAGACATCCTCTCCAAGCAGAAAGGGGCGAGGTGCGCCTCCCCCCACCCCCCACCTCCTGGGGGCCTCACGTAGGTAGGGGCCTTATGGGAAGTTTGGGGACAGGGTGTTTACCTATACACAGGGATCTTCTCAGCCAGCCCGAAGTCACCCACAACAGCTGTGAAGCCTCGGTCTTCCCGTCGGATCAGACAGTTCTGATACACAGACAGCATCCCACACACCCGTGACCTTCGGCTCTCTGACCTCCCGATATAAACCCCGAACCCCTGTCATTCCAGAACAACCGAACCCTCTCTGGTCTCCCAGTTCCCCATGCACCTCAGTCTTGCACCATCCTCCATCACTCCACTCACTCCCCTCGGAACACTCCCCCTCACCTGGGTACCCCATTTTCCTGTGCCCTGCTACTCCATCATCTGCACAAACTCAGTGCCCACATGCCAACATCCATAGGCTAGGTACAGCCTAAAATCTCAACTCCCCTTTCATGCCTCCACCCACTGGTCCAGCCTACCTTGGATGTGAGGTCTCGGTGGAACACACCTTTGGCATGCAGGTACCGCAGACCCCGGGCAATGTCCAGAGCCAGGTGGAGCCTTACTGTCCAGGACAGGGGTTCAGGGGAGCTGAGCAACTGTTCCAGGGTTCCCCCATTCATATACTGGGGCACAGGGGGAGGAGGAGGGAAACGAATGAAGGTTCCCGTCAGCACTCTAAAACTCCCGTTTATAGCCAGGGGACACGAGAATCAGAAGGGTGAGTCCGTGCTGTAGGGTCCCCCATTCATGTCCCAGGGCTGCCTGTCCCACACAAGTGGGGCTACTGAAATGTAAATGATCATGTTTACATAAAACTAAATCTGTCATTTGTCAGCCACACGGCCGTGTCTCCAGGGCTCCGGGGCCACACGTGGCGAGTGGCTGCGGTTTTGGAAGCGCAGATAATACAGAACATTTTCATCACTGCAGAAAGTTCTAGTGGAGAGCACCGTTCTGGGGGACTAGGGGTAGGGCCCCGGGGTCTTTCATTTGTGGTCCGCCCAAAGGGACGCTCAGGGACGCCTCCAGGTGCTGCTACCTGTCATTACTCCTCTGTAGAGGCACCTGGTGGCTGCCTCCCCCTCCCTTGGGGTGGTAAAGGGGGGTTCCCTCTCCGGGGCCCAGCCTCACCTCTGTAAGAGCGTGCAGCTGCCCCTGGTGCACACAGACCCCCATGAACCTGGAGAAGGAGGGGGACGGTGGAGCAGGCTGCAAAAGCCCCCGCCCCTCCACATCTTCACTTTTCCCGCGGGATCCCTCCCCTCCCCGGCATCCTGAAGGCCGCTCACCTTAGGATGTTGGGGTGCCGGAGCCGGTTCATCAGCTGCACCTCCCGCAGCGTGTTCCCCCGGTTGCTGGGGAGCCTGTTCATTTTCAGCACCATGACTTGCCCTGACTGTCGGTGCCGAACCTGGGGGCGGCAAGCGGAGCGGTTCCCGGGTCCGAGCCCCCCAGTTCCCGGCTCGCGCCCGAGGCTTGGTCCCGCCCCCCCGCCCTGCGGGCCGGTCCTACCTTGTAGACCTCGGAGAAGAAGCCGGCCCCGATCTTCTCCGCGCAGTGGAAATCGTCCACCCGCGCCAGGCTGGACACGGCGCTGCGGAGGGCCCGGTAGGAGGAGGGGCGGCCCCGGCCCGGGCCTCCGCCCGCGCCCCCCGGCCCGGGGCCCCCTCCCCCGGCGCCTCCCCGGGCCCGGGCCCAGGGCCCCGCAGCGGGGGCCGCTCCCCGGCCATGGCCGGGCCCCCAGCCCGGGCCTGCTTCACATGGCAGGGTCCCCGGGGCCCGGGCAGGCCGCGCTCGCCATGGGCACCGGCCCGGCCGGATCCCGGCGCCGGGGCGGCCGCTCCCGCCTAGAGAACGGTGGTCCGGGGGAGCCGGCGGGCCCGCCCCCGCCTCCCGGCTCGCGGGGCCCGGGGGACGCCGCTCCGCTCCGCGCTGCGCGAGGCCGCGGGCTGGGCCTGGCCTGGGCCGGGCGGCGGCGGTGGCGCTCCCGGGCGCCGGCGGGCGGGCGGGCTTCCGCGGCGGGGGGGCGGGCGGGCGGCGGCGGCTGCTCCGCTTCGCCGCCGGGGCTCGGGCGCCGCGGCCTGCGGGGGGCGGGGCTGCGCGCGCCGCCGCTTAACCCCTTCCCGCCCGGCCCGGGGCGGCGGCCACGCCCCCGCAGGTGAGCGCCCGGGTCGGCGCCGGCGGCCGCCGCGCCCT